CACTCTACCCAGGGGGACAGCTTGAGGCTCTGTCTCAAAAAAAAAAAAAAAAAACTTGCCTGAAAACACTTAATTTCACATTAAGAAGTCCAAGATTCAAACATTATATTAAATTCAAACACATAATATTACTCTTAATTCTTTTCTTTCTAATATGTTGAAAATCTGTCCGCAGCACAACCAGCCAATGGTAGCCTGACTTGACAAGATGGTGGTTGAATTTCTATATCTACTCTGGGCTTTTGCTCTCATTTGCTGTGTTCGTTATTCTCATACTTCCAATTACTTGTCCTCTTTCAACTTGCCCGAGACTGATCTCCGTTAAACTTAAGCCTTCACTATCATAAGGCATATTGAAGTAAAGCTTTTTAAAAAATGGCTTGCTACACAATATTAAAACTGTCAGCTGGAATATGAGCTCCCTTGTCTATTAGCATCATAAAACACTCATCTTTTTGATACTTTGGGGTACACGGGGGAGGTTAATTCTAAATCAAGTGGCTGTTTGGGGCATTCTAATAAAAAGTATCTTTTAAAGAACCAACATTTGAAAACATACTTTAGGAAAGAGGACTGTTTTGGGTGGCGCCTGTGGCTCAAAGGAGTAGGGCACTGACCCCATATGCCGGAGGTGGTGGGTTCAAGTTCAGCCCCTGCAAAAAAAAAAGAAAGAGGACTGTTTCAGTGACTTAAATGACCTAAGAGACAGTAGTACTAGACTGTCTTAAGATGCTAATGTTATTTAAAAAGCCCTTTTCTCTGAGGAATTTGTAGTGCTTAGTAAACGTTAAATCTCAAAATGTACTAAGAGGAAGGTACTGTCATCTCTATACAGAGCGGACAGGACAGGCAGCCAACAGCAGCAGAAATACCTCAAGACCAGCTAGTGCTTCCGTAGCCCCCATAGTAATTGAAGCACTTTAATACAAAGTGCTCTCTCTCAGCAGTTTTGGGAATCATAAGATCTGTGACTTTTCAAATGTTTTATAGCTTTATAAAATGTGACAGTTTATATTTTTAGAAAGATGCTGGCAAGCCCCCCTGCCCCCCCCATATAATAATAGTCAATACCTCCAAAATATCTTGGTCTTATTTTTTTTCCCCCCTCTAAAGTTGTAGTGAAGATTGGCTACATAGTACTTTTCTGTTTTTTTTTTTTTTACTTTTGTGTCACCTTTATAAGCTTTCCTCTATTCAATCTCCCCCCCAAAAGAAAAAGCTTCATTGACCTCCTCAATATTTCACAATTTACATTTCTTATTTAAGGGTCTGAAAAGGCTTTATAAAATAAAGCAGGACGACCTCATCGTGATGACTTGAGTAAGTGTGAGGTTTGTCCTAAGTCACCAAACAAATTAGAAAGGGTTAACTTTATGTGAGCCCAAGTTCTTCCCTAAAGAGGCTTGTCCACATTACTGTGAACTTGTCTAGTTGGAGGACCTCCTGTTCAGCCTTTCTTCATCACCTTTTCTAGAAAAAATTATTCCCTTGGACAATTGAATGATAAGTGCATCCTTTGGGGATATTTCCTTGACACAGGTGTATGGCATGTGTTGGGAAGTAAAGTATCGTCCTTGGCACAGTTCCTGCCTCCACTTAGATGGAGCAACCAGTTTTAAAGCAACAGAGCAAACCAAGCCATAGGATCTGCAGAAGCTTTGCATCACCCAGGGCTCATCCCTGACCTGTCAGGACTAGCCTCTTTTCAAGACGTTGGCTTGGTAGTTTTTCTTGTTAATCTACATGTTTTTCATACCACGGTTTTCTGCCAGACCCGTACATAGAACAGAGAAGAATACTTCAAAAATAAATAAAGAGGAGGATGTATATTTTTCCCATAACTTGTTATTATTTATGCTAATTGAATGCCTCTTGATCCTTGAATTCAGATAATCTCTCTTTGGTTTTTATCTACAGTAACTATGGCTACATTTAGTAGCCATACAAAATGCCTATGATTTATTGATATTGATACTTACTAGAAGGCCAAGAAGAGAAAAAAGAGCACCAGCTTTTTGATAAAATAGCCAAAGTTTAAGGCCCAACTAAGCCAAATCTCAGGTCCAGCATGAACTTGTTAAAGAAAATAACCAGAAAAGGGGACAAAATTTCATGTCCTG